AGGACAGGCCTGGTTCGTCATCATTGCTTCCCTGACCAGTACGAGGAGGAGCGGAAGCATGCGCCTCCTCGTCATCCGAGGCAACAGAACTCGTTGCTACTATCATCCGGCTGGCTGGTCCTTGGCTGGGCTCCTCTGCGAGAGTTCCTCTTTTGTCCCGGATCTGTGGACAAAATTTGGGCCTTAGTACTGTTCTCGCTGGAGGACATAGGCCTGGCTCGCTTCCTCTTTCGACGGCGATTTCTTGGAGGCAATTGAGGGAGCTGCCGCCTCAGCGGATCCCTCAACTGAGTCACTGTCGCTGAAGGAGGCTGAGCTCTCCTCCACCTCCTCTGCGAGGACTGCTTTGGACTCCTAATAAATACACAGTAATACAATAATAAAAGACATTTGTACACTTGGTACATGTTGTCAGATAACGGAAAAATCCAGAGAAAGTGGTAAAAAGTTTGGTAAAAAGGAAAATACGCCCCGGCGGTATGGGGATATTTCACTTGAATTTTAAGCTGGAAATAAAAAATTGATATTATTTTGATGCCAGAGAAATTAAATTCGTCGCGCTTGCAACTTCAATAGTGGCGTTTTATATGACGGCCATGTGCTTTCAAGCGTTTAAAGGAAAGTAACAGCAAAACTATTCCTTACTTCCAGTTAAAACTAGCGTGTTTTTAGGATTTTTGGCCGTTACAAATTAGAAATTATTCCTGATGTTTGAACTGAAAATTTTACCAGTAGCAAGTAACGACCGCGAAAGTTCTTTGAAATTTGTTTGCAATTTCCTCAAACCGAGTACATATGCTGAAAATCTCCGTTCTACGAAGCGCACTACAGAAGTTTTTAGAATGGGGAAGACAAACTCTCCTTTTTTTTCAAGAAGACTTTATTATTTGTAACGATAAAACGACGTTTTCAAACGTTTTGGCTGTTTCTGTTCAGCTTCAGGGTCTTCCCTTCACCTTTCTCTTAACACTCGATTACAGGAAGACAAGAGGGGGAGAACAAGAAGACACAAAAATTCAAGACTATACGGCGGACTAGTCATTAATTCCACCTTTTCACCAGTCAAATTCGATCGAATCAGACATTTGTTAATTTTTATAAGATATGTGTTGCGCACAGATGACTGAGAGCACCGCTTATCTAAAACGCCGCCACCGAGACACGTTCCTGTTTAACCGATTGCATACTACACACGGATAAATTATGGAAGGCCCTTCCGGCGACGTACGTCGTATCCATCACCATATGGATGCATCATTCAATATGACGGTTCTGAAGGCTCTGAACGAGTCCACATAGACAAAGCTTCTTTAAATCCATAGATAAAGTTTAAATCGCGTTTATATTTGCATCTTATTGTGTTTGTTGGGCTGCAGTGGTAGCTAAATAAAAAGTTGGGTAATGCTTTACGGTACGATCTACATGTACAAACATTGCATACTGGTTAGCCATGTTGCCGAACTGCCACCAAAGTAGAAAATTTCAATGAAAACAAAAAAGTAATTAATTCAAGGTTGAAAACTTAGCAGAATTACGTCTATACAGGTAATAGTAGACGAAACTGATAAGCTCATAGATATGATTGTGCGCGTAATTTAGCCGGGACCCAGCTGATTGCAGCCAGCTGTTTGAAATATCAAATTAATTGTGTATGCATGCAAAGAAAATAAAATAAAGTATTTTCAGCTTTGGTTTCTCTATGGATTTCTATGAACGCGTGT